TGCTTGTAGGGTTCAGGGGATCTCGTAGTCGAGCAGTCTCGACTAGAGCTTTCTTTCTTGTTTTTTTTTTTTTTTGTTAAATTTAAATTGATTTCTGTTGACTATTCAATTAGAATCTTCGCCCTTTATGGACTGTCTAGCCTGCAAATATATGTACTTTTTTCTATATATAGATATCCATTGAAATAGACACAATATGCATTGCATCTTATATATAATTTATATTGTATATTTATATATAGATATTTATAAATATTTTATATATAATTTTATAAATTACTCTACAGTTTCTATTCAAATTGAATTCACTTCAAGATTCCCAGCCGAACGTCATTTCTCATGTTTGCTTTCCACTCGACTCCATTTATACTTTGTTGTTTTCTTGGCCATATTAGGCAATCGATATCGGAAAGCAGGCCATATCTGTCTAACTCTTCCCCATACGAAATCTAATCAGAATTCAAATTTCAATCGAAAAAGAAATTTCGCAATCGTTGCGGGCCGCATTTACTTTATATTGGCCAAAGTTTTCCAAGTGGCTCATAAAATCGATAGACAATATTTTTTTTTGTTTTATGGAAATTTTTGCTATTCTGTTGTGGTTGTTGTTGTTTTTGGAATATTGTTGTCTCTGTTTGCATTTGTTTCCTTTTGATGTCAGTGTCAATTGTCGTGTCGTCGTCGTCGTCGTCGGCTCATGTTGATTTTTGGGGTTTGGCAAACGATTTCATTATAATTTTGTTTTGTATTTTACGATTTAATTGCACGAAAATTCATTTGATTAACATTTGCCGGAGCTTATTTATTTTGTAGTGCAATTATTTCGTTTATGATTTCTCAAAATTTTACGATGCGCACCATCAAGGCGAAATGTGGCTGGGATTTCATAAAGAGAAAAAAAAAAAAGCCTAATGGGGGGTTGTTAATCTAATTAATAATACGAGCTGGAGCAACACAAATAGGAGTAGGAGCTGGCTGGGTGTAGGTGTCATTGGCTTTCTCCCTGAGGCTGCCCACACGGCTGGGCTTTAATTAATTATGTTATGCAGGGGAAACAAAAATTAATTTCATTTCAATTGTGCGTCTCCACGCACAAGTCGCATCATTAGCAAGCAGCTGCCTCTCGATTGAAGACCCAAAAAACAAATCGAAAACAAGACGAAACAAAACTAAAACCCGCTGAGTAAGCAAACGCTTTGGCTCGCCCCGCATCCTCGACGGCCCCAGCCACGTCCACTCGAGTGTCATATTCGAGTGGGCTCGAAGGTGATTAACGCGATCATAGAAACGATGTTTTCAAATACACAATATATCGTGGCAAAATGCGCATGAGCGTAAGTGTGTCGGCTCTTCTTCACGCCGCGGCGATGCCAACAACACCTGAAGTAGGGGCTCGACAAGCGATCGCCCCGATCAGCGCTCGTTGCCCCTCGCTCTGCCCCCACGATCATGACTCTACTCTTTCCCCATTTGCGCACGCGCTAAATGTCAAAAATTGTTTGAAAATTAACTATGCAAGGAGAGTAGAGCAAGTCGAGGCCTCGATGCTCTTACTGAGAAAGAGTTTGAATGTTTATGTATGTGATGTGGGATTAGATAAGTAACAAATATATAAATTCCTATTGTCAATATTGTTTAATGGTATCCCATAAATAAGGCTGCTTCTCTGATTCTCTGATTTCTCTTTATATATTTTTGTCTTAGCTAATGTAGCCACAGTTAGAGTATCTAAGCAGAGGCCGCCTGTTGTTTTCTGGGCTTTTGGTGGCTGCTGCTCCAGCTGCTGGCTCTGGCTCTAGCTCTAGCTCTAGCTGTGGCAGCGGCACGGGCATGGGC